CCCTCGGGCACGAATTGGAGCATCCTGGGTTCCCTTGAACAAATCCCATGAGCCTTAGTCCTCGCTGCTGCGGAGTCTGAGCTGGGCCCTCAACACTCGAATCTCGTGGGGCTTGGCGCTGTTCTCCTGGGCTCCCACAGGTGGTGGCGCATGACTCCTACGGGGCCAGGAGGGGCCCACGGCGGGCCAAGAGACCTCCGAGAGCCCGCTCAGGCGTTCCAAGGGTGCTCCGAATCGCTACACAATCGGTCGAAGACGCTCAAGGTGGCTCCAAGATGGCCCAGGAAGCCTTCGAGACGCCACAAGAAAGCTCCAAACGCCTTCCCAAGCAGGTCCCGAGATGCCAACATCATCGATTTCCATTCGGTGTTTCAATGTTGTGTGGGGTTCTCGGCTTTACCAACTCCCGACGCTCCACGACGTCCCAAGGGACCCCCAAAACCGTCCCAAGACGGCCCACGCGGCCCTCAAGGGGGCCCCCAAAGGGCTCCAAACCGGCCCCAAGAGGCGCCCAAGACGGCCCAAGAGAGCCCCAGGACGGCCCCAAGGAGGGTCCAAGAAAGGGAGCCCGAGCCGGCAAGCCGAGCCTTCCGTCCCAAGCCCCATAACGGCCCCCCTAAGGGGCATTAACACTGTCTCCACGCGGCCCCCGAGAGGCCTCACGGGACATCCCGTCGAACAACCTGGAGGCCCGTCACCCACAAGCCAGGCAGGGTGGCGGGATGGGCCGAAGGCCATTCGACCTGCTTGGCACGTGGACGGAACGCGCGAGCACTGAGTGAGGGCGCGCGATCGCTGGCTTAGTGTCTTGGAGCCCTCTTGGTGTTAAGACTTTGGTATGTCATACAAAAATCTAACGCACACAACCTCACGAAAATCAATGAATATAGCCTCTCCAGGCCTTCGCAAGGTTCTTTTGGGGGCTCTTCTGGGCCTTCTTGCGGCCCTCATGGGCTGTCCCGGGACCCTCTTGGGCCGTCTTGGGGGGCTTGGGCCGTCTTGGGGCCCTCTTCGGACGCTCTTGGGCTCTCTTTGGGGCCTCCAACGGCCCTCTTGGGGCTCTCTTGGGAAGCTTTTGGGACCCTCAGAGGCCCCTCTTGAGCCGTCTTGGGGCTCTAGTGGGTTGGCTTGGAGCCCACCTGGGCCGTCTTGGGGCCCTCTTGGGCCGCCTTGGGGCGGTCTTGGGGGCCTCTCGGGCCGTCTAACGCGGTATCCGCGTTGGGGGCCTCTCGTGGGGTCACCGAACGGATCGGAGGAGTCCGCCGTGAGGTCCACCTCCTCCTCGTCGACTGGATCTGCTCAACTCTTCCTCTTGCTCTCTCCTCCCCCTCGTATTCCCTTCTCGCTCCTCCATTAACATTATCTTCTTCCTCCTCCTTCCCCAACACCTCCTCATTGTCATTCCCCTTTCTTCCATTTATCCTTCGAAATCCTCCTCCTGTGTATCTTTTCTGGGAGTGCAATAAAAAGCTCGTCCTCGCCTCTCTCCTCCTCCTCCTCCTCCTCCTCCTCCTCCGCCTCCTCCTCCTCCTCCTCCTCCTCCTCCTCCTCCTCCTCCTGGTTGAAGAGGCAATCATCCTGGCCTCCGCATCCTCTTCCTTCTGCATCTCCTCCTCCTCCCCGCTCCCTCCCTCGTCCAACTCCCCCTCTCCCACGTCCATCCTTCTCGCCCTCGCCGGCTCGAGTTGAGGTCCGTGGAGCCCAGGACTGGATGGAGCTCTGGGGATGGGAGTCGGTGCGAAGCGAGAGGGAGCAGCTCCGTGCGCTCCCCTCCCACGTCCTCATCGGACATGCTGCCTGCGACACCACGCAGGGCTCGGCTGCATTCGGGATTGCCTTGGGGGACCTGGGCCCCCCCAAGTCACCCCAGCACGCCGGAAGCGCTGCAAGCACCTTGTGCCCGTCGGTCTGAAGCAGTGGGTCGAACCATGAAGCAGGGCGGCGCTGGAAGTATAGTGGGATTCCGCCGGAGCCCTGAAGATGAGGGGAGAGGGAGAACCACTCGATTCTCGAAGCAGAGAGGCGTCTACCCTAAGAAGTAGATCGAGATCTGGGAATCAAGAAATCTCTACTTTCAACGTCCAGCGTGTAAACATGAAGAAACCGAGCCTAACCCAAAACACCATGTTCCTCCTCCTCCTCCTCCTCCTCCTCCTCCTCCTTTCTCGCCGTTGGCCCTTCCCCCCCTCCCCTGGCCCAGGCCAGCCCCTGGCGGATCCGCACATCCTTCCTGGCCGCCTGACACACGAAGCGTCGTGACTCCCCTTGGCGATGTCGCTGCCCCACCGGGGAGCCTTGTGGAACACATCGAATGGTATTGTTCGGCACGCCAACAACCCTTCTTACAAGCAGCACGGGGCAGCGGACTAGTGGCCTTCGGCCCATCTTGCCTCGGTGCATGGCTTGTAGGTCAGAGGCGTCTTGCGGTGCATGCTACGGTATCTGATGTTGCCTCTTGGGGGGCTGGTGGGGGCCTCTTTGGACTGGTTTGCCCAATCCCGGGAATCCCTCAACCCTCAACCATCCGCCGCCTATCCAAAAACCATGGGACGCGGAAGGAAGCCAAGTAGATACACAGGAGAGAATGGAGAGGACGACCAAACGACGGAATGGACTTCAGAAGGCGGGATGTGCCTCCTCCTCCTCCCTCCTCTCCTCCTCCGCCTCCTCCTCCTCCTCCCCCTCCTCTCCCTCCTCTCCTCCTCCCCCTCCTCCTCCCCCCCACCTCCCCTCCTCCCCCCCCCGTCCTCCTCCTCCTCCTCCTCCTCGGCCATGGGGCTCTCAATCTCAACAGCAGCTTCAAGGCGCGGGGGGTACAATCGAATCTGACGCGTGCATCAACGGCCGGCGCTGCTACCGAGGAGCCAACCGCTGCGTCGCAAACCCGCTCTGCCACAAGGAACGCCCCGCAGCGCAGACGGCGTTGCCACAACCGCCGCCTACGCAACGCGTTGCCTGGATGGGAAACCGTGTGACCCGTCAAGGCCCACACGGGCCACCTTCTTTGTGTGTTGCCGCACATGGCTCGGGCGATGGCAGGACTGGGTTTAGTGGGAACTGGTCTAGTGATCTGTACGGGGGACGCCCCCCCCCGCCCCATTCCACTAACGGGAATTGCCGTCACCTGAAAAACACCAGCTACGGCAGACCAGGCTTAGTGATTCCAATCCGTATTTTGGGCTTCGGGGCCCAACCACTAACCGGCTCCCCTTAACTGGGGTCCTGGCTATACCCGAACGACATTGAACATGGACCCCTCATACTCAGAACCCTCTGGAAGAGCTCGCACTGGGCGGCGCTCATCACATGCTCTGTGCTCTTTTCCTCTCTGGACGCGCCGTGCCGGCGCGCAAACAACGACGAATTCACTCTATCTCTGCGCGTGATTGGCTCGGGTCGGACCAGAACGGGGAGGATCTGGGGTTAGCGTTAAGTCGGGCCTGCCCCTCTACAGGAGGATGAGACAAACAATATAACATAGTCAGAGGAAGATGTTTTGACCATTTTTGAATATTTCTGTCTTATATTTGGAGTTTCTTTCATTTTTCATCGAAAATCTGCCTGTAGGGGGACATGCCCGACCTAAGGCTAGCGAATCAGCTCACCTAGCAGATTTCCCCGGCGCCTCCCGGCGCGGAAGGCGCCAACGCAACGAGGACGGCGCCTGGCGGTGGGGCACAAGCTGGCGCTGCACGCCGCGGATTCTGCACCGCCCCCCCTCCCCATCCCCCCCCCCTCTCGTCCGACCCGGCCGGCTCGGCCTAGGTCACCTGGCTCCACGTCGGCACAAAGCAAAAATTGTGGACGAGCAGGCGGCCCGACGGAGGCACGCGGCTCACGGGGTCGCATTCGGCGCCCACGGTCGCCGAGCTGCCCAGGTGCACGAAGGCCGCCGAGAGTGCCTGCGGATGGGCCCCGCGAGCGAGAGACGCAGCAGCACGCTGCGGTCGGGAGGAGGAGGAGGAGGAGGAGGAGGAGGAGGAGGAGGAGGAGGAGGAGGAGGAGGAGGAGGAGGAGGAGGAGGAGGAGGAGGAGAGCGTGTCGCGGCGGCGGCCCCAGCGACACGTTGTGCCCTGCGAGCCGAGTCAGCGTGCCGCTCTGCCCCGTTGCGCGGGAGGCCTTGAACGTTTCGGAACGCTGACACCTGGGGGCTGGGACGTGGTTCGCGTGTCGCGCCGAAGCGTGGTGGGCCAAAGCCAGCGGCGCGACGTGGTAAACAAACATTCCTGAAATCAGCGCTAACATCAAGGCTCCAACACCAGGACCGTTTTGGGAGGCAACTTTAGATCTTGTTATCCTGGGCGGCATACGGTGTCGTTCTGAAGCATCGAACGAAGACCGCCATGGCGACGCCCCCGCGACGGCGCCAGCGCGCCCCGAAACCTATAGGGCTGCTCGGGTGTCCTCCCTGATCTTCCTCCCCCCCTCCTCCTCCCTCCTCCGCACTTTGTCCTCCTGCTCCTGATGCTCCTCCTCCTCCTCCTCCTCCTCCTCCTCCTCCTCCTTGTCCGCATCGATCTCGGCTTCCAGATTGACTTGCATTGCTTCAGGCCCCTCGTCCTTGGGGCCCCATTCGGGGAGACGTGAGACTCGAGTTTGGAGGACTCGAGTTGGCCTGACAGGGCCGTCAGACCAATGACGAGGCTCAACCTGGAATTTGGCGCAAACTCCTGCTGCAGGCAGCCCACGAAAGCTGGACCGTCAAACCTCAGGACGGGCCCGTCAAGCAGCGTCGGCAAACCCGAGTTTTGGCGAACTCGAGTCTCACGCTTCCCCGACCCATGCCCCAGGGCCCCAACCTCGAACCGCCGATCCTGGGGACGGGCCCAGTGCTCTTGCTCCTCCCCCCAGCTGTCCTCCTGCTCCTGCTCCTGCTCCTGCTCCTGCTCCTGCTCCTCCTGCTCCTCCTGCTCCTCCTGCTCCTGCTCCTGCTCCTGCTCCTGCTCCTGCTCCTGCTCCTGCTCCTGCGCCTGCTCCTCCTCCTCCTCCTCCTCCTCCTCCTCCTCCTCCTCCTCCTCGGTCTCCAGCTTCAGCTCACAGCTGCTTCGGGCTCCTCGTCCCTAGGCCTCGGAGCCCCATCTCTGCGCCGCCGATCTCGGCTTTACACGCAGGAGGGGTCCCGGGCAAGAGTGGCTTTGGTGCGCAGCACAAAGCGGCCGCGGGGAAGCCAACTCCAGGTGGCCGATTTCGGAAACCCTGAACCCAAAACCGTTGTCATCTCTTGGGGGCGCATCCTTCACTTCCGCCGCCTTCTGCCAGCCTTCCGCCGGCTTCCGCCCGCGGAGGCGGCCTCGTTTTACCTCCGCCGACCTTCCGCCGCCCTTCCGCGGCGGCAGAGACGACAACCCCTTCTATCCTCGATGGCAAGGCCATTTGTCGAGCGCCTCGTGTGCGCATGCCGGTGCTGGGCGGACCCCCTGCGGGCCGGTACCGAGAAGCCGCTCCGGCGAAGGGCCGCTCTCACGCGGAGCCGGTGCTGTGGCCGCGGCGCGGGCCGGCCGTGCCTCCATCGATCGTTGGCTGGGCGCGGGCGCCGCGGCGGGCCGCGTGGCGGCCGTCTGGGGGCGGCCGAGGGCCCACAAGGACTCACGCTTTCGGTCGGGCATGTCCTCCTACCGGCGGATTTTGGAAGAAGAGCTGGAAGAGTCAAAAAGCACTCAGAAATAGTAGATTGAAAAGAATCCCCAGACTATTTTTTCCTATTCTCGAATGGTCCTCCTGTAGAGGGACATACCCGCCTTAAAGCACGTCTTGAGGGTGAGATTTAGTGCCCCCCCCCCTCGAAGGGGGGGGGGAAGGAGGGGAGGGGAAACGTGCGAGGCGGGAGTCACCCATGACCACCGCCTGTGGGATCGATCTCCAGGGACCTCGGCCAGCGGCGGATCCGGATCTATCTGTTTGGCCTTCCAGCGCCCGAAGATGTCCACATCCATCGCCTGCCGAGGTCTCCGAAAGCCGATCCCCCTGCGGTGGTAATGGAGAAATCCCCGCCTCGGAGCACCCTTGCTTCTATCTGCCGGGGCCGTCGTGCGGGGGCCATGCTAGGCGCCAGCGGTCGCGTCTGGCGCTGGCATGGTGTGGGCGCCTGTGGGAACGAACTCGGAGGCGTCCGCACGCATGGACGTATGGCCGCTTCCTGGAGCCAACTTTTGTTCGCTGTCTTTCATACCGTCCCTTTGCCTCTCCACTTTTGTCTCTCCTTCCCTTCACATCCGTCTCTCTCTCTCTCTCTTTCTCTCGCTTTTTTGTTTTGTCTCATCTCTCTCTATATATATACACCCCTAGTTGTTTGTTTCTCGTTCTGTCTCTCTTTCTTTATTCATTTCTATCTCTTTCTCTCTCTCTCTCCTGTTATTTCCTCCCCCTCTCCCTATATCTCGTTCTGGCGTACTACCTCTACATGTACGTGCCTCCGTCTCCCAATATCTCACCCTCTCGATGTATCCCTGCCTCTCTGTTCCTGAGCGTCTCTGTCTCTCGCTGTCGCTCTCGCAGTCCGTTCCCTTTTGTGTGAATGTCTCCGTCTCTCTGTCTCTCGCCTTATCTCATTAGCAATCATATGCTCTTAGAGATATTAGAATCACACTGGCTTTGGCTACACTGTCGCGTCAAGTGATGGTCAATTGCGCTCCGGCGGTAACCACGGACATCACAAGAAAGCTGCATGATGAACAAAGCCGAGCGCCGAGTTCGCGGGGGAGCACAACGAGTTCTATAGCACTGCTGTTTGTTAGCCCACTCCTGAGAGGTGCTGCTGATCCTCGACTCAGATGCGCCGAGATATACGGACCGTGCGATTACCGCTCAGGCGATCCTCACAAAGCAGGTGCAACATTAGTGGAGAGGCTAGCCTTAGCCCCAGCAGGGGCTCGGGCCAGGAATCGACACATCTTGTCACATCCGTTCAGCGACTGAAGGCATCGAGGGCGACGGTCGATTCCATTCACCACACATTGGACAGAGAAATCAGCGCACACGGGGTGCAGAACTTGATAGAATGCACAATGACATGGGGGCCCGTCGCGCTCATCGGATCGCATCGGTCAAATATACACGAGCATTCCAGGCTGTACAAATCAACCGCGATAGTTCTCTAGAGTTTCGAGATAGTTGGACACTTATTGTCTTCTCGGCGACCTTATTGACGGACTGGGGTCACACCAATAGTGGACACTGATGGTGTCTCCGCAGGACCCGCCGCACAACAACGAGGACGGCAACTACGACTACGGTAGCGACTACGACCACGATACGACTACGGCTACGTCTACGACTAGTTAGCGACCACGACCAAGACTACTATTACGACTACGACTACGACTGCGGCTACGAGATGGAGGAGGAGATTGTGAGCAACGCCTTCGGCGAAGACGGTGCCGATCTATATTTATATATATATATAGAGAGATAGATATTGCAATCCTCTTACAAACACAAACGTGCTCAAACGTCATCTGTAGTGCAGGGTCGCCCAGCGAGCATGACTCGCTGGGGGAAAGAGCCCCCAACACATTATCCAGCGCGGCGAACGCGAGCGGGCAACCAACCCGTGGCGCGACGCGGGCGCCGACGACGAAGACGGTGACTTCGGAAGGGAAGACGAGGAAATGGAGGAGGAGCAGGAGGAGGACGAGGAGCGGGAGGACGAGGAGCGATCAAGAGGACGAGGAGGGCGAGGAAGACGAGGAGCGAGCAAGAGGAAATGGAGGAGGACGAGGAGGAAATGGAGGAAATGGAGGAGGACGAGGAAGACGAGGACGAGACGAGGAAATGGAGGAGGACGAGGAGGACATCACCATCTTCCTGCCGAGAGAAACAGCGGTGAGCAATAACTGAAGACCTCCTGAGGTTACACACGCGGTCGGCCCGTGCCAAGCGCGATGATTTGGCGGGCGACTGGGTGTGGCCGCAGACGCCCGAATCTGACTTTACCCATGCGAGCGTTCCTCAAAGCAGGCTCGACTGGTGGCGGTAGTGGTGTGCCGCAAACGCCCACTTCGAGTATTCATGCTAATCTTCGTCATCGCCCTGTTGTGCTCATTGATGCCTGCCTTGGGCCCCAATTTGATGACGGAAGACACCCAGCGGAGAGGAGGAGTGGGAGGAGCAGGAGGAGGCATCATCAGCACCGAGGAGCAGAAGGAGGCTGACAGGGGGAAGCAATCCCAACCTCTGGATCGAGGAACTGGCGTGCGAGACGGCGGACAAGAAGCAACGCCACTCTCCCTCTCCCTCTCTGTCCCTCTCCTTCTGGACTGACCGCCACAGAGGCAAGCCCTCGGCGGATGGTGAGGCGCAGCAGCTGCTTCGCCTCGCACTCCTCGCAGGCAGCAACACAGGGGGTCACTGGGGGGGGTGTCACCTCATCCTGAGGTTGTATGAAGAAGGACCCCCCCTTCAAGCCACTGAAGACACCCATGAACGTCCAGAAGCCTCTCCGATCATCGATCCTCCCTCCTCGCTCCGCATGAGCAGCCGGCGGCGCCCTCGTTTGGTGACCGCCCTTGGGCCCGACCCGGTCCTCGAGCATCCGCTCCGGGTTCTGCGTGACGCCGTTCACGCCGACGATGCGGTCCCCGTGCCCCACGACCCGATCCGGGCACGGCCCCCCCGAGCACGAGCGATTCCAGGCCTCCACGGCGCCGCCGCTGCGCACCGACTCTATGAGCAACGCCTGCCCGGAGCATCAGAAACAGGCAGAAGCCAGCACCTCCGCCTTCCCGATTGCTTTGTTGTTGTGCTTGTGTGTGCGCGTGTGTGAATGCTTTTATGTTATTTTACGTGTGTGTGTGTGTGTGTGTGTGTGTGTGTGTCTGTGTGTGTGTGTGTGCGCTTCCCCGTTTAGTTGGCCCTCCGCCAGCGCAATCGCTCTTCAAAGCCGCCCCCGGGGGTCTGCCGAGCATCGATCGGGGGTGAGCGTGGCCATGGCCAAACTTCGCCTCGAGGCCCCGTGCAAACTTTGCCTCCGGGTTTGCCGAGCATCGATCGGGGGTGGGCCCGGAGGCAAAGTTTGCACGGGGCCTCGGCGCCTGTTTTTCTTTGGACTCGGGCAAGTTTACTTGCATGGCGTTCGCCCCCCCCCCCCCCCCAACACACCCCACCCCTCGCCCGTCTTCTAGAATACGAGCGTGCAAGTGCCTTTCGACTTGCGTGATCTCAGCACGTAAAGTCGTTTGCGGCTCACTTGAGGTTCAGCCCCCCCCCCGCCCATGCAAGTAAACTTGCTAGAGTCTAAAAAAAACAGGCTCTCGAGGATCGAGGCTCGGGCGCTGCTGCGCCGGCAGGACGGAGGAGAGGTGCGCGCGGGGCATCGGGAGCTCGACGCCAGTGGCGCTCGGAGGCGCGGGGGGCGCGAGGGCCCCTCGGGCCCGGCCGAGACCGACGCGGGGTCTCCCCACCACAGGGGGGCACGGCAGTGGCCCTGGGAGCTGCAGGGGAAGAGGGTTGGTTGAGGGGGCAAGGGATCAGGGAGGAGGAGGAGGAGGAGGAGGAGGAGGAGGAGGAGGAGGAGGAGGAGGAGGAGAGGAGGAGGAGGAGGAGGAGGAGGAGGAGGAGGAGGAGGAGGAGGAGGAGGAGGGGAGGAGGAGGAGGAGGAGGAGGAGGAGGAGGAGGAGGAGGCGAGGAGAGAGGCGAGGAGGCGAGGGGGCACGGGGGGGGGGAGAGAAGAAGTGCGTGAAAGCAGGGAGCGAGAGGGCGATCGACATAGATCAGGTCTGGGCCCACGCCAGAGCCAGGCGGTTGAGGTACAGGTACTCCGGACTCGTGGGGCAGGAGGTCGCGCGACAGAGATTTGGATCTTGAGGTGCAGAGGTGCCTACGAGATGCCTACAGCAGGTCCATGCCGTGACGACCCTGGCGCTGGGTTCGGACCCGTGCGAACCGGTCAACCTTGAACGATCACGGATTTCTGACAGAGCGGGCCGTTCGGCGTCGGCCAATTCAGAGCTACTGGCGGCGTTCAACCTTGCACGCCCGCGCCAGGGTCGCCGCCTGGTTCACTCGGCGGCGAGCAAGGGGGGGGAATTGAGAGGGAGAAGGCCTTCTCAGAAGGCGGCAGGGCTTCCCAGAAGCTCACAGACCTTCTGAGAAGCTGTCTGCGTCCTCGGGGGAAGTATTCGGAAACCTCTCGGAAGGCACGAGAACTCCCGAGACTTCCGAGAAGGCCCGTCCCTTCTCGCTTCCCTCCCGAGCTCGCCGCCGATTCACCCAACTTCGCGCATCCTGCCCCGCGATGCGCGATTGAAGACGACGCCAGGACGAGGATCAAATCGGGTGAGCATAAATCGAGAATCTCTGAGATCTGGCGGCTCTGGAGGACTTCTCGGGCGCCGCGGCCTTCTCAGAGCGTTCCGGAACGCTCCAAGAGCGTTTTCCGTAACGCTCTGGCGCTGATACATCCTCGTCCAACTGACGATTCTCTTCGCGCCCGTCCGGCGATTCTCCTCCTCCTCCTTCGCCTCCTCCTCCTCCTCCTCGTAACGCTCTGGCCCCGTGACGCCTTGGCCCCGCCCGACGCTTCTCTTCGCGCCCGCACGCCTCCCTGGCCGCCGCCCTGGAGCGGGGCAACTGCCCTGCTCCTGACCCGGGCCGCGGCGCTCGCGAGGCGCGGCCGCTTCTTTTCGCGCCCCCCGGGGGGCGACATGTGCCGCAGCGTAAGCAGGGCGAAAACGTGCCGGTGTTCCAGCGCGCTGCCCAGACACTCCTGAATCTCAACCTCGTCCTCCTCCGCCTCATCCTCCTCCTTCCTCCTCCTCCTTCCTCCTCCTCCTTCCTCCTCCTCCCTCCTCCTCCTCCCTCCTCCTCCTCCCTCCTCCCTCCTCCTCCTCCTTCTCCTCCACCTCCTCCTCCTGTTCCTCCTCCTCCTCCTCCTCCTCCTCCTCCTCTTTCTCCTCCTCCTCCTCCTCCTCCTCCTCCTCCTCCTCCTCCTCCTCCTCCTCCTCCACCGCCCTCCCCCTCCCATGCCTCCCTCTCCTCCTCTCCTATCCCGCGGCGCGCTGGTCTGCTTATTCAGTACGCGTCCCGAAGTGGACCGACTCCTTCCCCAAGGCCGATGTTTCGCCCCGGGCCCGTTTTTGGTGGTCCCGAAGCCGGACCCAGAAACGGTTACCAAAAGTCGAAATCTTTGAACCATCGCCCGGTTTGGAGCACTTATGAGAGCGACAAAACATCCTAATAACAAGCACCCGACAAGCGAAACCGTTTAGTAAACGCACCCATGGAAGGAATCGAACAGGCAGGGCTGTTTAGCAAACGCCCAGGGCCGGCTAGTAAACGCGTCGGAGTGGCTTTCCTCCATCGTATCGCGGGGATCTGGGTGCCCGCCCTGGTCCTGGGCGTTGCTGTGGCCCAGAGGGCCCCCGCCGAGCCTCGCACTCTTGCGACACGGCGAGGCCGAGGTCGGTGCCGTCCGCCTTCTCGCGGGAGGCCCGCGGGGAGGACCCCTCCTCTTCTGAGTGCCAATGAGGGCGCGCGCGCGCGCACTGGGGGGGGGGATTGCGGTGACCTTTCTCCTGCTCCTCCTCCTCCTCCTCCTCCTCCTCCTGCTCCTCCTCCTACTCCTCCTCCTCCTCCTCCTGCTTCTCTTCCTCCTCCCCCCCAGCCCAGGCAGCAGCAGCAGCCGTGAACGGATCACCGAGAACCGCTGGGGTGTCCGATGCCGCCGCCACAGAGGTCTTGTCGAACATCGTATGGCCAAGGCAGAGGAGGACGAGGAAGAGGAGGAGGAGAAGGAGGAGGAGGGGGAGGGGGAGGAGGTGGTGGAGGAGGAGGAGGAGGAGAAGGAGGAGGAGGAGGGGGAGGAGGAGGAGGACGAGGAGGAGGAGGAGGCTGCTGCTGATGATGGTGATGGTGATGATGCTGATGCTGCTGATGATGATGCTGGTGATGGTGATGATGATGCTGATGATGCTGATGATGATGATGATGATGCTGCTGATGCTGCTGATGCTGACGATGCTGCTGCTGCTAATGGTACTGCTGCTGCTGATGATGATGCTGGTGATGCTGCTGATGATGAGACGGATGGTGCGTATGCTGATGCTTATGCTGATGCTGATGATGCTGCTGCTGATGACGATGACGACGATGATGTTGATGCTGCTGCTGCTGCTGCTGCTGATGATGATGATGATGATGATGATGATGATGGTGCTGCTGCTGATGATGATGATGAGGTTGAGGATGCTGATGCTGCTGCCGATGATGAGGATGAGAAGGAGGAGGAGGAGGAGGAGGAGGAGGAGGAGGAGGAGGAGGAGGAGTAAAAGGTGGCGTAGGTGGAGGCGGAGGATATGTATTGGGGAGGAGGAGAGGGAAGAGGTGGCGAGGACAAGCTGGGTGCGCCCGCCCCATATCTGACATCCCACGCCTCCCACCAATCCGTCGCCAGTGGTCTGACTTCTCCGGGGCGGAAGAGCAGGACACGGATGAGTCGGAGCCAGAGGACTGTGGCAGGAGGAGGGGGCAAGGAGGGCGGGAGGGCGAAGGATGGACGACGAGCGAGGGCGAACACGAGAGCGGAGGACCCCTCGCCTCTCCCGCCACGATCCTGCCTCTGGCCCTCCTGTCCCTCCTGCTCCTTCATCCCTCGCGCCCCCTGCCTCGTCCTCCCTCCTCCCCCCGCCCCTCCCTGCGCACGCCTTCCCTCCCCAATCCCCCTCCTGCCGCCTCGAGCCGGTTCTCCCGCCTCGCACCCCTCGTGTCTCCTCCTGCTCGCCCTCCGGGCAGGATGTGGGAGACGGGCGAGGAGGGATGACGGACGAGGCTGAGAAGGGACGAAGAGGAAGAGGAGGATCGAAACAAATACGGAAGATGGTCATAGGGACGAGGAAAAGGGAGGAGGGAGGGAGGGAGGGATGCATATGAGTAGTGATGCACGTGTAATCTTTTTGTTGGGGGCCTGGTCATGCCTCCCGGCAACTTCCACAGCGCCCTAGAACGGGGATCGACCAAATATACCAGCTCTTCCGCAGGGCCGAATCGACTACATGATACAATTGAGCCTGAAGGCGCAAGCCTGAAGATGCCGACAACACATGCATTCTGCCGAGACCTGATGCTGCAACTGGCAGTGAAGACGACTTCCCCCGCAACTGCGGGCAAGATTGAAAGGGCGCCTGGGCTGGGGGGGGAAGGTGGTGCTCTCCGATGCCAATGGAAACAAAAAGCCTGCCGTATGCGCCAACCTCGTTATTGAAAGCAGTCTGGGTGGGTCGGCCCGCCGCAAGAACCGACCTGGGTGAAACAACGTCGCGGGTGGGTCATGGCGCGGGTGGGTCCCGGGTGCGTCCCGGGTGGGTCACGGGCGGGTCGCGGGTGAGTCGCGGCGCGGGTGTGTCGCGGCCGCGCCGCGGGTGGGTCACATCGCGGGCCGACGACAATCCGCCCATTCCTCCTCTACTGCTCCTTCTCCTCCTCTTCCTATTGTTCTTCCCTCCACTCCTGCGATCATTCCTCCTGTTCCTCCTGCTCCACCTCCACTCTTCATGCTTCTCCTGCCTCCTGCCTCCTGCCTCCGCCACCCCCTCCTCCTCCTCCTCGTCCTCCTCCTCCTCCTCCTCCTCCTCCTCCTCCCCTTCCTCCTCCTCCTCCCCCCTGCTCCTCCTTCCCCCCTGGTGCTCCTTCCCCCCTGCTCCTCCTCCTCCTCCTCCTCCTCCTCCTCGTCCTCCTCCTTCGCCCCGCCTCCTCTTTACGTTGCACCAATGCAGGTTGGCGTGACCCGTGGCGTCTGATCACAGTGATCTGGTATAACAGATCTGGGCGCACGAACAAGGTCAAGCTCGAATTCGTATCACCTAAGTGCAGGCTAAGCGGCGAGGGAGACGTGAAGAAACACAGAACAGTGGAGACGCCCGCAAGGGCAAGAATGTCACCACTGCGGTGTTGGCAAAGAAATACACGGCGGCTCCTCCACAACACCCCCGCCGATCTCATCACCTACATACCCGATCCTCCAAGGTTAAAGTCAGTCCGGCCAGTACGGCATCATGACAGTGCAGACGCATGTGGGCACAGGGCCAACGTTAGTATGCCCTGGGAGCAGGTGAGCATATCACGATGCACTTTTAGGACAGGCCTGAACACATTATATATGGCGACTGGCGGCGTTGTTTCACATTACGCCCTATCCGCAGCGGCATGAGCGGCGAAGGGAAATGAGGAGGCATGGGGGCAACCAAGGATCACAGGAAGAACACCGTAGCATCTGAAGACCACATAGCCGGCGGGCTGCCCGCAAATGGGGCTACTCTGTCAGCGCATAGAAGGGCATATTATTCTGTTCCAGGGTGAACATTGGCCATCCTCCCCTACGTTTCCTACCTCAGCCATACAGCCTCCGCCAAGTGAACAGGAAGTGTGCGACTATGGCAGCGTCGCAAAAGTATTTCCGCCGTATCCAATTGCACTTTAACTGTGGGGCCTTGGACTTGAAGTTGTGGCCAGATGCACTAGTGAGGTGTTGAATCAGAGGGCTATATGCCCAGTAGCGGGCTTTCACCGAGAGACAGGAACTGTGACGCGAGCGCGCGCGCCTGTGTTCCGATGCCTGTGTTGCCCTTTCTGCAGCACTGGGCTGGACGAAACCCTCGTCGAGGGACGAAGGATTTAGACCATAGCTCATTCTCAATCCTCCGCCTCCTCCAAGGAGCGCTCACCGAGGATCGTGGCTTGGAAATGCCTGTAGCAACGCGCGAGAAACGACGAGGTGAGGTCCGTGGGCCCGCGGAGGGGGGGGGGGGGCGTGGCGCGCAGAAGCGAGGAGCAAGGAGAGCGGGGAAGCCGGAGGAGAAGCACCAAAGCCAGGAGGAGAGAGCCAGGCACGCGAAAGGCGAGGGCCAGCACATAGAGGGAGTGAGGCATGGACAAAGTGGCGACGCGACGAGCAAACAGAAAGAAAGACTGTGCTAACCATGAAAAGAAACACAGCGTTACGGAACCGTGTTTTTTAACTGTATCGCGGCGCGCTTGCGGAGAACTTTGCGTGGAGGGCCTGTGTCCTACTGAACGCCGCTGTGCAATACCGCAGAAGAGCCCTGAGTGATAACGTCACTGCATGCATGTTCCGATTCTTTTCGGCGGACTGGAAGGCCAACTCGGTACTCGTCTTCCCCGGCAGCTCTCCGCTGGAGGGCCCAAGCATAGGCAACGCCATCTACAAATGAGTCCCACAGAGGGGGACGGGGAGCCTCAGATCGCCCGGTCCGGCAGCCAGTACGCGTTCGCCTGAAGCATGCTCACAGGTTTTTTTCGGGAATCGGGCTCTCGCCTCGCTGCCCGCTGCATTGTTTGTCCAAGCGACCACGATCCAGGGCAACTGACCGCACTTGGGTGCACATGGCCGTGCTTTTCCACACTTGTCCCAGCTGCGTTCAACCCTGCCCCATCTCTTCACCCTCGCTACTGTTTGGGTGTTTTGTTGGGGAAGTTGAATTCTCGGAGCACTGTATTCAATGACGGCGAGCGAGCATTTGTAGACGAGGCTGCCACATGATGATTTTCCAAGCACGTTTGCGTGCCACCATACATCCTTCATCCCGTTTGCATATGGGCAGATGTTCCCCTTTGTTGCGGCAACTTGTCAACAAGGCTTGTGGTTCTGGGTTGCTCTTACAGCGTGTCCAAACAAACAATCGTTCTGATCGCTGTGGGACTCATGTGGAACCGTCCATCTTGCATTGCGCGGGTATTTTCCGAAAGAGAAGATGCGTCGGGACACATCCCCCAGCTCGACGATGCTGCTCTCAAGATGCGCGCGTCAATCTCAATCGTCATGTGGTCAACTGGTACAGCGACAACATACCAACAACACGAAGTATGATCCGCATCCTGCGCTCGATGTTGTTACCCAGCCTTATCGCACTTCTTGTCTGGGACTTCTCCTATGGGATCTTACTTGGCAAGAACTTGTGCTGCTTGTGAACTATCCGAAAACAGCTGCACGTGCTGTGTGCTCGCGGGTAGACGAGTCCGGCTGTCCTTTACATTGAAATGGTCGTGCTCTCCGCTGCCTTCACTCCACGTCGCAACTTATCAAAAGGGTGGCGGCGGCAAGACACTTACGGAATGAACAAGGCGTGTTGGGCG